TTTATTCTTCCAGCAAGATTTCTTTTAGATAAACAGTCACAGAAAGGCAATGTAGGATGATGGAAGGTATTTATGTTTTAGAGTCTGCAGCTTAATGCTATACCTAATCTTCTGAGCCACATGAACTCGGGAAATATTTTGCGACTTGCTTTATTCCTCTGAAAAATGAATTTCTTTCAAATCATTTATTGAGCACCTAATACAGAGTAAGGAAAATGTTAGGCTGTATAATTCTCATAGAAAGTTTATGAGCTAGAAATTATTTTCCACATGATTTTTCCATTTCTTCTGTATTCTGTGTTATTATCAGAAATGAACTATATAATTATAAAAAATGCCAACAAGTTTTCCTTTCCAAGGAATTTTGAAAAGATGCAGGTAGTAAAATAGAAAAGACACTGTTTGTTGCCTCTTTACTTTGGATCTGTAGAGGTACCAGAACAAAAGAGATGGGAATAGAGATAAACTTAGTACATTTCCTAGGATTTAGATGTACTGGAAATGTCCACACCCCCTGCAGGCTTTTAGCTACAAGATTGCATCACCTATCAGAAAACTCTAAAGCTGTGTTTTTGTACTGAGTTCACATTTAAGGTATTAATAATGCCTTCAGCACAAGTCATTTCCAGGGAATTAATTTCCTAGCAGTCAGTGGGTTAAATCCCCACAAAATAACGTGCAGGTGACCCAGTTGTATTGACCTCAAATATAGAATTTCAGATCAATAGCTGCAGTACTTGGATTCTGAAATCTAAAATAATCGCGGTGTTTTTGTTACCCCAGTGGATGCTATCAGACAGGGGATCCCTATGGCAATTGGAGGTTCTTATCATATTAATGTTTGTTTTTGGTCCAAAAAGAAACTACTTAAAAAAGTAAATGCCTTCTGTTCCCTCTTCTTGGAATATGTAATGATGACTTTCAAACATATAATAAAAATTAACAGTATTTCAAATAGCACAAATGGCCATTAATTGCTTTTACATGAAATAGCATTTCTTCTTCAGAAGCAGAGCATTACAGCTGGATGCAAAATTCTTTTTGGTCTATTCACCTTTTAATTCTGTCATGAAAGCATAACAGAAGATCTCTCAATTTGTAACCAAATAGAAATGCTAAGCCTTCACAAACTGGGCTTGGAGGTAGTGAGGCAGGAAAGGGAAACAATGTTATAGCTACCTGAACCATGGCATTGACTGGCATGATGTTTTGCCAGTGGCTAGTCAGTGACCAGACATCACTTCAAGCATTGACACCAATAGAGGGAACTGATTACCCATGTGGTAAAGAAGCTGAGAGCCAAGTAAGGAAGAGTGTAGTAACCAAGTAACTAGAGACTGCAGAAGGCCACTACCAGCCTGGAGGGGCAAATGGAGGAGTGTCCCCATCGCCAGACGGAAGTTGGAGCCAGAATGGGCTGAAGACATGGAGTAGATGGATCCTCGGGTAGGGAAGCTACCTGAGGAAGCGGATGGGCAAGGGAGAGAGGGGTGGAGGATAAACAAAAAACCTGGGTTATCTTTTCCTTCCCCTTCCCTCTGCCAACTACCACTGGCCACTTCCTTCGACTGCAGTAGCGTCTCTGTAATACAGCTGGGGAGGATCAACCTTCCACGGGTACAAAGCAAAGAAGTCACAAAAGGAGATGGTCCAAGAAGCCCAGAGCCAGCATATATGGACATCTCCCCTGGGGAATCACTTTACCTGGCTGGTTCCTTTTCATGAAAAGTTAAGAACTCATGAGTAGGTCTGTTGAACTCACAATATAGATTTCACAAGAAGCAGTGAGTACTATGATAAAGCCCAGCACCTTTCTGGGATGGATAAGAATGTATTTACAGTTTCGATTTTTTTTTTTTTTACTCAGTGCATATTGTGTAACAGTGCCTCCTCTGGTGTAGTTTTGTCATTTCCAAGCAACTATGTGGCCACTCTCCTATTGCTTAAGAATATTTAAATACGAACTACAACTTTGAGCTGAGTTAAGAATTCAAGAACTAATGTCAAGGTTATGTCAAAAATGCATGGATTTGCAAACATATGTTCCTTTCCAACATATTTCTCAACCACATTAACCTCTTGGTTAGTCCCTCCATTTTACATATGAAAAAAAGACTAAGTACTGCATGAGTTAGGTAAGGCGAGATTGTTGAGATTGATTCTCCTTGCTTTGAAAAAGGAAGGAAAAACTCCCCTCTCTTTGCTTCTAAATCACTTTTTAAAAACAAAGCTGATCTGAAGAAACACTGTTAGCATTTGTTCAGTATCTCACATCTTTAAAGGGACGTTCTAAAGTACTTTCTCATTCATTCACAACATAGCCTCTTTGATAGGAGTTGGAAAAAATCATTGCAATAGCCATACATCATAGTAGCATGCTGCCTACCTCAATTCTGCTTTGTTAAGTTCTGACCATGCCAGTGTTTCTGAAATTCTGTCCAATTTGGAGCTGAGTCTAGGATAGCCCAGAGATGGTCTTACTTTTTATGGAAATTCAAAGGATACAACCTCACACAGGTTTGAGGGCCTGTTTCCCACATCCTTAGACTAAGAGAATGGCTTGCCTAACATCTTCAGAATCAGGTTAAACAAGGATGCTTAAATGATGGGTTGTGGCTCAGCTGGTAAAGAATCCTCCTGCAATGCAGGAGACCTGAGTTTGATCCCTGGGTTGGGAGGATCTCCTGGAGAAGGAAAAGGCTACCCACTCCAGTATTCTGGCCTAGATTTTTCCATGAACTGTATAGTCCAGGGGGCTGCGAAGAGTCGGACACGACTGAACGACTTTCACTTTCACATGATGGGTATATTACATCACAGCCCTCAGATCAGCACAAGCACGAGTATGCTTCCAGTGAGACAATTCTCACTTAAAAGTATGGAGACCACGATGTGAAATCTGTATGACTTCTTTAGATATATAGAATCAGAGTACATGGGTGCATGCTAAGTTGCTTCAGTCATGTCTGACTCTGTGCAATTCAGCCTGCCATGCTCCTCGGTCCACGGGCTTTCCCAGGCAAGAATACTGGAATGGATAGCCATGCCCTCCTCCAGGGGTAACTTCCTGACACAGGGATTGAATCCGCATCTCATATCTCCCGCATTGGCAGGTATGTTCTTTATCACTAGCGCCACCCAAATGCAGAAGCCCCCAACGTCTTACTGGAATGCTGTCCTAGCATTATGACTGACCTTCCATATCAGAATAAACTGTTATGGAAATTCAGGCTTGTTTATTTTTGTCTTTATTCTTCCTTTTAAAAAGAAGTTAAGAGAGCCTGGGAACTATAAAATACTGTTCTTCTTGAGAAACAGAGGACTCATGAAATAAAAAGTCTGACAGGGGATAAGAGTTCCAGCCTCACTTCAAAACCCATATTTAAAGCACTGTTCCTCTATTCAACAACAACAACAACATCTGAAATTGTGAGCAGGCAGCAAGAAAAAGACCTTGGGAGAATAAACTCTGCTTTATTCCTCTTGATATCATTTTGCCAGAGCTTTAAACAAGCGTGAAGACTTTTGTGAAATGAAAAACAGAATAAAAGAGCATATTGAGGAGCTGTTTCCAACAGGCTCCCCGTATCCCACTCCCCCTAATGGGAATGCTGTACACACAGCCATCCAAGATCAGACCTCCTAAGTAGAGCATTTTTTTTTCTTGGAGATTTTTCTCATTTGGACTTTAATTAAGCTCCTGCCAGGCTTGCAAGCTTTTTAATTTTACCTTTCTTTCTTCTTTCTTTTTCCTCCTTGAATCAGCCTGCTTGCCAGGAAACTTTTTCCAAGCTGTCACAATCATAGTAAGTATACCCTAAGATATTAATATTAAATTTAGAAATGTACTAGTCGCTGTTGCTTCAAGAATCAATAGCAGAAGTGTCCTCACATTTGGAAAGATTTTCATTAGTTTGTTCATTCATTTATTTATTCATTAATTCATTTGTTTTTCCTTAAGCGTGTATGTGTGCGTGTGTGTTGTGAATGAGAAGATAACAAAAAGGAAGCTTCATGGAGTGTACAATAACTACCGGCTAGTGACATAACTCAACCTCCCCCAAAGCCACCAGTTTAATAGAAGAAACTTTCCATTACTTAATTGATACTCACAATGTCCATAAGCAAACTGTAGCCAACTCTTTCCTAGTGTTGGTGGGTATAGGGTGAGTGGTCCCTTTAGAAGGTAATGTCTCAGTTGAAGATTTAACACCTCTTTGATGAAATGTAATGTTTAATTCACTTCAGTTCTTTTTCAAAGTCCCCTTGTAATCAGTTAAACTCATTGTGACTCCAAAAGTATAAAGGTAGGGGCTGGGGATTTGGAAGGTGACCCCTTTAAAGCAGATGCAAACAAGGATCTAGTGTAGAGCACAAGGCACTCTGCTCAATGTTATGTGGCAGCCTCTGTCCTCCTGGAGAGGAGTTTGAGGGAGAATGGACACTTGTATATGCTTGGCTGGGGTCCTTGCTGTCTACCTGTAGCTATCACAGTGTTGTTAACCAGCTACGCTGCAGCTGCGCCTAAGTCTCTTCAGTCGTGTCCAACTCTGGGCGACCCCATGGACTGCAGCCCACCAGGCTCCTCCATCCCTGGGATTTTCCAGGCAAGAACACTGGAGTGGGGTGCCACTGCCTTCTCCAGTTAACCAGTTATATTCCAATATAAAATAAAAAGTTAAAAAAAAAGACAGCAAGAAAAAATAAAGCAGATTGTATGAGAAGCTATTTTAGTTGAAAGCTATTTAATTGAAAACCAGCCACCCTAAACAGGATGTCTTCTTCTTTTTTTTTTTTTCTTAATTTTAAAAAATACTCAGATAATATCGCAGAAACAAGAATAAGCCATTAGAAGCACCAAAACTAGAATGAAAGCTGTGGAGCATTGGGGGTATTATCATCGCCATGATTGCTGTTCTCGCCACTCTTATTGTTTACTTAGTAATAATTCCACACCAGCAGGTTTCTGCACCAGCCATTCCTGCATATGAGGTACTTACTGATCGCCTCCACAAACTGCTCAAAGAAACTGTAAGGGAAGAGCGGCTCAGGCAAGTCCCGGAAAAACATCTTCAGTGCTCCGGTGACAACGTGGATGTCCTCCCACTGGCTGTCGTCCAAATTCAGCTTCTCTTCTGGGAAAACACGAGGAGAAATGGAACAACTGGTTTTAATGAAACAATTACAAGACACTAATTATTATGTTAATGTTTGCCTACTATCATCAGCAACCGTTAACAGCCTTCTGCACCTAGAGGTTTGGTGCTGTGCATGTTTTTTTTTTTTTTCCTTTTTTCCATAGGAAGGGAACATTTTCAATGGAATACCATCTGCAGGAATGCAGCTAACAAAAAAACAAGAGACACAAAGAGACCGTGCCATTGACATAGTACGTCAGATACGTTTATTCCCATAATGCATCAGTATGAAAATTAGCATCACAGCTCAACATGATTCAAAGCTATTTGGTTTAGAGGCCGAGGGGCTAAGAGTTGCCAATGACGGCTGGCTCAAGGGACCGGCCTAAAGGCCTTGCTGAGCCAACAGGAGACATATGCTAAACATGGCAATAGAAAATGAGTTATTGCTTTACATGTGTTAGCCTTGCTATGTACAAGGGAATAATGGGTAACACTTTTTTCCTTTTTTCGCTGAATATAAAGTCAGCAAGGAATAGAATACCGAGTGAGAAAGGATATTAATTCCTTCTTACTGCTTCAAAAATATCTTTTTTTTTTTTTTTTAGTTTTCTTCTCAGTGAGGAAAATGTGCCCAGCAACAATATTAGACAGACCCCTGTTGGCCTACGTAGGCTATGCAAAGCTGTCAAAAATGATAACACACTAAAGGCAAACCACAAGTGCTCACCAACTCCTCTTAGAAACAACGGAAATGTTTGCTTGGGAAGCTTGAGTGAGTTGAGACATTTAAATATTAAAGAAAATAAAGGCCCCAGTAAAGTTCTCAGAAGAAATAAAGAGTCTGGGCAATTATTTCCTTCCCTTTCGTCTTCAGTATGAAAGACTGGAACCATTCTCACTCAAAAAGTGGATGCAATAATGTCTGAAAGTGACACCTTTACACACAACTAAAAGGAAGCAGGCATACAAGCACTGCTGCTGAAACACAGTATTTGTCTTTCTGAACGTCACAACACAGAAAAGATTTTGGATTCTGGGTTTAATGAGAACTGAAGCTGATCATTTTGGACAACCTGGGGGTTAATAGGAAAGCTGAGGATCCTGGCAAGAACTCAATAGGTATTTGGTCAACTGGAATTGTGTGTCTTTACCGATGTCTTGGGCTCACATTTAGATGCCTGCTTGTGTCAGTTTTATGAATGCAGAGGAGAATTTGCACAAAAAATGTAAGAAAAGCTGAGAATTGTCACTGTAGGGAATCTCTGCATGGGCTGTTTTGCTAATAGTGTTCATGTCCTTTTAAAAATATTAGCTGAAATCTTTATCAGATCTTTTTTTTCTAAATGGATTATTATTCCCAGGGCTGGTCAGTGACGTTTCTGCTCAACTGGCTGTTTGCAAAGAGAAGGAATGAAGGTGAATCTGTTTATTTCAGCTGGGCAATTTTCTTCTTCCCTTTCAGTCTCCATCCCTACCTCAATCATAACACAATAATTCGACCCACAACAAAATCAGCAGAGGAGACCTTCTTTCTGCCCTGCAATCATTTTTGATTGATTGTATTTCAACAATTAGTCTTTTATTTGGCTACACACTATTGAAATAGGACGACAGCATCCTAGCAGGCCAGCTTTAAACAGTCAACTGTTAACAATAGCATCAAAAAGGGAGACCTGATGGGGTTTACTGTCACTTTAAAGAACGGGGTTTTCACATTGTTGAAATCTGTCAGATATTTTGAAATGTCCCTCTCACTATGGTGCCACACCCCCTGCGTGCCCTTATAATAAAATTGGTTTTACTCCTGATTAAATCATTTTCTCCCTACCCACTACCATACTTCTCATAATGGACCTGTGCGCTCTACAGCTGGTGTTCTTCCCATGGTACCAATTCTTACTTTATCTTTTAAGCACTTTGCTGCTAAGATCTCATGCAGAGTGCTTATGTTTTGTTAAGAGCTTCATTCTTAGAGAAATAGCTTAACACATGTTCTAAAAATGTTGTACAACTTATTGCTTAAAGCACATTTAGAAAATGTATAAGTACGGTAGCTTTGGCACTGAACTTTAAGTGGAAAACTAAATACACACAAACACACACATACACACACATGCTCACATGCACAACTATCTCTACCAAAAATTCATCACAAAAGTCCACACAAAAAGTCATTTTGATGCATAGGTTTAACAGCACAAAAGTCCAACACAGAATGCTATTTTGCTGCATAAGTTTAAGATTAGCAGGTTAAAAAACAGGATGGTTTTATTTGAAGCAAGAAAAGACGAAGAGCAAACAATTGTGTAACCAAAGATAGATGCCAGTCATGTTTGTCACCTTCAGATAAACATCACTTAATTCAACTGCTTTTGAAAATGAAATATTTCAATATACATAAAAAAGAAAATCTACCACTCAATCAACACCATTTGATTATATCCACTCGAAATGCCATATAATATCAATATCAACTTGTGTTACTCAAACTAACATTTCTATTATGTGGTCTTCATTTTAAAAAGACCATGTATAGCCTCTCAACAAGTAGCTTCAATAAATAAGATGATAAGTAGTTGGAAAGTATTTTGGTATATAATACCTAATTTTTATATTAAGTTTTTCCATAAACAACCAAGGTTAAGATTTCTTTGTAAAACAGAGGACTTTAAGGCATATTTTTCAAGACCACTGCTACTTACCTAAACACGCAGTTGGGTCCATATTTATATGCCTTCTCATGAATGCAATCAGTAGTGAAGATGAAGTGACACTCATCTCTGTGTTAACAGGTATCATTATGAACACATTTGTACTATCTGATAGGCATTTTCTAACAGATCTGTTAGCGGTGATGATGTCTTCTCGGTCCCTGCTTTTCAAATGAGCAGGATTTCTCTGTAGGGAAGGACTGTTGACACTTGGGACTGAATACTTTTTCGTAATGGGGGCTGTCCTGCACATGCTATGGTATTTAGTAGCATCCCTGGCCTTGGCCAACTCGTTGCCAGCAGCATTTCCCAATACTGCTGATGAAAAATGTCTCCAGATATTGCCAAATATCTCCTGGGGGTACAAAGTAATCCCCAGCGGAGAACCAAAACAATGGAATCTGTAAGAGTCTATAAAAGTTACTCAATAAATGTTGATTTGTGAAGTTTACCTTTGGTGGGCAGAGAAATAGAAAACTAGATATGTGCATGTTGAGGTTCCTTTAACATGAACTTAAGTCCTGGTGGGGCTTCCCTGGTGGCTCAGGTGGTAAAGAATCTGCCTGCAATGCAGGAGACCTGGGTTTGATCCCCTGATTGGGAAGATCCTCTGGAGAAGGGAATGGCAACTCCAGTATTCTTGCCTGGAGAATTACATGGAGAGAGGAGCCTGGTGGGCTACAGTCCATGGGGTAGCAAAAATATGGATGAGTAACTAACACATTCAACACTAAGATCTGGTAATTGTTATTGACAAAATAAAAACTTGTTACAGAACAAAATTCAGATGACTATATTTTAGGGAATCTTTGCAACAGAAACAATAACCAATAGTTATTTGGTAGGCTGCAGTCCATGGGGTCGCGAAGAATCAGACATGACTGAGCAACTTCACTTTCACTTTTCACTTTTCTGCATTGGAGAAGGAAATGGCAACCCACTCCAGTGTTCTTGCCTGAAGAATCGCAGGGATGGGGATTCGCACAGAGTTGGATACGACTGAAGTGACTTAGCAGTAGCAGTATTTGATGCTTACAGCATGCTAGAGACTATGCTGTGCCCTTTACATTCTTTTTATATAAGTTTTTCAATAATGAGGTCTATGCTATTGTTTTCATCAGCTTATTTTACAGGCAGGGAAAATGAGGCATGTATAGATTAAGTAAAATTTCCACGGCTGACAAGTTATAAACCCAGGATAAGGAGTCAGTTTGTTGTTGCTGCCTAGCCTCTAAGTCAGGTCTGACTGTTTTGCGACCCCATGGACTGTAGCCCACCAGGCTCCTCTGTCCCCGGGATTTCCCAAGCAAGAATACTGGAGTGGGTTGTCATTTCCTTCTATAGGGGATCTTCCCAACCCAGGGATCGAAACAGCATCTCCTGCACTTCAGGCAGATTCTTTACCGACTGAGCCACCCGTGAGGCCCAAGGAGTCAGTCAGTCTCTCTTCAAACCACTATGGTCAGGCTAAGCCTGGCTGGCAGAAGCTGAAAGGGTAAAGGCAAATAAATAGTAATTGCCAGTGGTAGTGGATTGACTACTACTTCAAAGATAGTGATTTTTATATTTTATCCCTAAATATCTTACTTGAGGCTATGCTTTTACCTGTAAACTGACTCTGATCTTTCCTAATTACTCATTTATAGAAGAAACAGATTCTTATATAAACAGATATAAAGCAAACTGGCAATAAAAAGAATGCATTAGGAATGGGACAGAAGATGGAGCAAATTACTATGTGGTGCTAGAATGAAGAGGAAATATGATAGAGTGAAAAAGAGATTATATAAAACACCAGGCCTGGATTTAACACTAATTTATTGTGTATCTATTTATTTATTTGTGAAATGAATATATTTAGAAGGATAGTCATTTGTTTCAAATGAGAAAATGTATCTGAAAAACATTTGGAAAGCAAAAAAACCTCAAACATATCCAAGATGCCATTGTGATAGGGAAGGTGAATAAAGGCCCAAAAGGCAAAATATATTAGGGATTAAAGCAATGGAAATACTGAGCAAACATCATAAACCATCCTGATTGTCTTAGAGGATTTACCTCAGCATGATGCAATTTGTCATAGGAGCTCAACAAAAACTTTACATGCTGGAGTCCGGTACTGGGAAGAAGTCTGGTTGAATCAAGACACCTCACAATCATCACACCAATAATCTGTGCTGGTTTCTCCTGGCCCTCTAATCAGGTTATTGTAAATTCATGTTGGCCGTGGCTTTTGGCTTAAACCATTTAAACAGAATTGAAGACAGCTTAAGCTCCAAAATC